CATGGAGCCGTGGGATGGAGCCGTGGGATGGAGCCGTGGGATGGAGCCGTGGGCATGGAGCCCTGGGATACGCAAAGTTAATGGAAACCTAAGCGTCCCTGCGCTCCCAGCACATCCGAGCGCACAGTGCGCGCACGGCGTATGTTAAAGGAATGAAGGAGTGAATGGCCGAGAGCTTCCTTCATGGAAACACTCTCCGGGGGTTCCAGTGGCCAAAATAATAAAGTAACGGGAGAAACACACGAGGAACGAGGGTCCCCCCAGTTTGCTAACTCCGTGACCTCGAGCAAGTTATTCAATGTAAGACCATTTATGTCTGTTCTTCAAAGAGATGGCCAACAGATACGCAGCAGTGGGCAAAGGTAGGCTTACAGCTGGTTGTGAGTACGTCAAACAGAGTTTATTCTTGTTTCATTATTTATGTGTAATGAAGGCTGGCAATTTGAGCACATGCGAGGCTGTACTTAGTGCACCGTGCCGCTGTGACATTCTTTTGAGTTAATTAAGCTACTGTAATAATCATAACCCGCATATCTTTTCCCAAACAGCTATAAATCTACTTTTGCCCACCCCTGAATGAAAAGTTGCTCAACATCACTAATCATCAGAGAAATGCAAATTAAAACCACAATGTGACGTCACCTCTCACGTGCCAGAACAGCTCCCGTCAGCAAATCAGCAAACGGCAAGTGCTGGCGAGGGTGTGGGGAAAAGGGAGCCCTCATGGCCCTTGGTGGGCGTGCAGACTGGCGGGGCCGTGTGGAAAGCAGTATGGAGGCTCCTCAAAAAATTAAATATGAGCTGCCTTATGACCCAGCAAATCCACGTCTGAGTATTTATCTGAAGAAATCCAATACACTAATTCAAAAAGACATATGCACCCCTATGTTCACTGCAGCATTATTTACAATAGCCAAGATACGGAAGCGACCTGTGTGTCCATCAATAGACTAGTGGATAAAGCCATGGGACATACACACAATGGAATATTGCTGTGCCATAAAAAAGAATGAAATCTTACCATTTGTGACAACCTGGATGGACCTAGAGGGTATTATGCTAAGTGAAATAAGTCAGACAAAGACAAATACGGTATCATCTCACTTATATGTGGAATCTAGAAAACAAAATAGACAAACAAAACAGAAATAGACTCATAGATACAGAGAACACACTGACAGTTGCCAGATGGGAGGAGAGTTGGGGGACTGAGTAGAAAAGGTGAAGGGATTAAAAAGTACAAATTGACAGTTAAAAGTCATCATGGGGATGCCCTGCCCGTGTGGCTCAGTTGGTTGAGCACAGTCACATGCGCCAAGGTCCCAGTCAGAGCACATGCCGGGGTTGTGGGCTCGATCTCCAGTGGGGGGCGTGCAGGAGGCAGCCAATCAGTGACTCTCTCATCATGGATGCTTCTATCTCTCTCTCTCCCTCTCCCTTCCTCTCTCTGAAATCAATAAAGATACATTTTAAAAAGAAAACCGTCATAGGGATGTAAAGTACAGCATAGGGAATATAGTCAATAATATTGTAATTACTATGTATGGTGACAGATGGGTACTAAATTTATCAGGAGTGGGGATGATGCTGCAAGTTACCTAAATGTCTAACCACTATGCTGTACACCTGAAATTAATATAATATTGAATGTCAACTGTATCTAAAAATTAAAAATAAATGTTAGAAAAGATAATTTGTGTCTAAATGGCCTCATCTGTATAATAGGAATATGGATATTATTTCATATGCTGTAAAAATTAAATGAACTAATCTATGTAAAGTACTTAGAACAGTGTTTGACCCATAGTAAACATTATGTAAGTGGTGGTTTATTATTATCATCACCTATTTTTCAACTTCCCTTTTAGTGAACTCGCATTTCCCATCTTCCAATGTGCACCCCACCCTTCCCCTCTTCTGGATGTGGACCCAAAAGAATGGAGAGCAGGGACTCAAACGGATGCTTGCCACCCGCGCTCATGGCAGCTCGGAGTCCCAGTCGCTAAAAGGTGGAAACAGCCCCGGTGTCCGCCGAGGGACGAGCGGGCACACAAAAGGCGGTCTGTCCACGCAGCACGACGGCCCATCGCTCGGCCTCTACCAGGAAAGGAATTCTGCACATGGCACAGCGTGGCAGCCGCGAAGACGTAAGCTCTGAGCGGACACCAAGGACAGATAGTAGACGGTTCCACTCATAAAAGTGGTCACATTCATGGGGACACGAGGGAAGGAGGGACTAGGGAGTCCCCACAGTTTAATAGGGACAGAGTTTCAGTTTGGGAAGATGGGAAGTTTTGCAAATGAACGGCGGTGACGGTTGTAGAGCAACGTGAATGCATTTCACGCAAACGAAATGTACCCTTAAAAACAGTAATAGGATGTTTTTGTTATGCATATTTTACCATAATTTTTTTAAAGCCCTAAGGAGAACACTTTGTGAAGTATTTGATTGTCTAACCACTGTGCTGTACGCCTGAAACTAATGCAATACTGAAGGTAACTTGTAATTGGAAAAAAATTAATTTAAAAAACCCACCTAAATCTAAAAGAAAAAGAAAAAAAAAGACCAAGAGGCCCCCCTCCCTCCCCAGAGGGCCCGATCCGAGGCTGTGCGGCTGGGGCTGGCCCAGAAGGGGGCGCGTGGGGCCCTCCCTGCTCACAGCCGCAGCGAGAGCTACGGAAGACCAGTCACCGCCCCCGAGCTCCCCCAACTGCAAAGCCTCTGGGTGTCCTTCCGGGGTCGCGTGGACAGCGCCAGCGCTGCAGTGCACGCCACTCCCTGGAAAGCTGCTGTCCTTCCAGAAGCCTTCCTCTGGAGCTCCAACCCCACCTCCCCCTGCCCGTGTTGCCCCCCTTCCTGATCCGCTCCAACCTTCCGTCAGCTGCCTGAACCCCAAACAGGGCGTCTTCCTGGATTCCTCCCCTTTCCATCCCTACATCTCGTCCATCACTTTGGACTATGGATTCTGCCTCCTAAATAATTGGTTGTTTCCCTCCAGGCCCCAGAGCCCGCGGCCTGTATTTGAGACCTGGGCTCCCAGTGTCCCTGTGCACCGTCGGTCTACACTGCGATTCCCAGCAGGGCTTTCTTACCGCCTCCCCCACCTATGATCCTTTCTCCCCTCTGCCGTTGGGGTTCCTTTCTAGGAGCCAGAGCTTCTGCTTGATACTAGTCACCATCTTCCCATTGCTTTGGGGACAAAAAGCTTCTTAAAGCTGGCATTCAAGCTTCCTGATGGTGCCCCTGCCTGTCATTCCAGTCTCCCCTGTCATCTCTCCCCACCCACATACACGCACCCACCCACATACAC